GCCAGGTTGGCACAATTAACTAACTAACCATCCTTGCTTCCAGGGGCATTCTGGCTGTACTTCTTCCAAGACAAATGTGTTTGTTCTTCTTTTTTTTCCTTTTTTAAAATAAATCATTTTATCAGGGGCTCTTTCAGCTCTTATAACAATCCATTGGATCAAGCACATTTGTACATATGTTGCCATCATCATTTTCAGAACATTTTTTTCTACTTGAGCCCTTGGTATCAGCTCCTCTTTGTCCCGCCCCCCCCCCTCACCCTCCCTCCCCCGTGACCCCGTGATAAATTGCAAGTGATTGTTTCCATCTCGTGTCTGTTCTTTGGGCGGCCCATCAGCTTTCAGTCCATCCCCACCCCCCCACCCCACGTCAGAGTCCAGTGCACCCATTCCTCGGCGGTCCTCCTTGTTCTCGGTCCAGCTTCCACATGCACGTGAAGCAAAAGGAAATGCCAGGCCCTCCGTCAGGTGCACCTTAGTCCTCAATGCGAAATCTTTGCTCTTTAACACTCTAAAAAAAGCTTGTGCTGCAGGTTTGCCCAATGCGGTGTGCTATTTGAGGACAGCCTAGGGGACCCCTCCGTGCTATAGGGTTGCTATGAGCTGGAATCCACTCAACAGCCCACGGCAACAGGACAGTGTGTGTGTGTTTCCTGGATGGTGCAAACAGCGTTCTCTCAGCTATTCTCTCCCACACATCTGGTGGTGCAAACCCCAGCCAGTGCCCCACAGAAGAAAAGTCCTGGCCACAAGCTCCTGATGGAGCAGCTCCACTCTGGGACACATGAGGGCACCAGGAGTCCAAGGGAACTGGACAGAAACAGGCTTGGTTTGCTTGCTTGCTCGCTTTCTAAGTGGACACATCGCTGCTATTGTTTTGAGGTGCCATTCAACAACAGCAGGAAGCATTACCCAGCCCTGTGCCCTTCTCATGATGACTGTGATGTTTGAGCCCATTGTTGCAGCCACTGTGTCCATCCAGCTGATTGAGGGCCTTCCTCTCTTCCACTGTCCTCCCACTCTACCAAACATGGTCTCTGCCAAAGAGTGGTCTCTCCTAAGGACACGCCCAAAGGACGTGAGGTGAAGTTTCATCATCTGCGCTCCCCAGGAGCATTCTGGCTGTACTTCTGCAAGACAGAAGAGTTTATATATTTATGAGATAGGTAGGCTGGTAGGTAAATAGAGACAGGGATATACAGATACAGGAACCCTGGTAGCCATGAAGGTTAGGAATTGGGCTGCTGACCATAAGGTCAGTGGTTCAAACCCACCCGTTGCTCTGAGGGAGGCAGATGAGGCTTTGTGGAAAGTCTGCTCCTGTAAAGATTTACAGTCTCAGAAACCCCGTGTAGGGTTGCTATGAGTCGGAATCTACTTGATGGCAGGGGACGGCTTTATAAAGAGAGGGAGAAGCTTATGTTAAGGAATTGGCTTGTAGGATTGTGATTGGCAAGTCTTAAATTTGTAGGCCTGGCAGTGAGCTGGAAATGTTGGCAGAATGGCTACGCCACAGTCTGGAAGAATCCTTCTCCCTTGAAAAGGTCAGTTTTTGCTCCTAAGATCTTTAGCAGATTAAATAGGCTTTATTTAAGAGCAACTGATTTAAATGCCCCCCCAAAGCCAAACTCACTGCCGTCAAGTCAGTGCTGAACTGCAGTGACCCTATAGAACAGGGTAGAACTGCCCCTATGGGTTTCTGAGACTGTAGCTGTTTATGGGAGTAGAAAGTCTCATCTTTCTCCCTTGGAGTGGCTGGTGGTTTTGAACTGCAGACCTTTCATATCGCAGCCCGGTGTGTAACCACGAGGCCACCAGGACTATGGGTGGTTGGCCAAACAACTGAGCACCATAGTCCAGCCAACTGGACCCATAGCCATCGCAGGGTGTCTGCAGTGTGTTAGCTGCCATGGCCTCCCTGACTATGGAAGGACAGACGGACGAACAGGACATGGCCGGGTCATGGTGAGTGTTGTGGCCAAGGCCACAGGAGCACAAAGCAGCCCCCGAGCCAGATCTGGGGGGACCCCAGAAACCCTCCCAGAGCAGGTGGTATTCAAACCGAGACCTTGAAGGATGGGCAGGTGTTAGGGTCTGGGCAGGAAGGGGTCCCTGAGAGAGTGAGAGCAGTCTGGAAGTGTGGGTATGGCCCCTTGGGTGGACCAGCTGTGGCTGGACAGGAGGCCATGGTGGAGGGTATGAGGTCCTGGCTCCAAAGTTCCGGGGGCACGGAAAATGAGAGGCTCAGTCCGTGGTCAAGGTCCCCAGGAGGTTATCAAAGGTTCCAGTGGCCCCAAACTGTGTGATCTCAGGGTCTAGACAGCTCCTGGTCGGAGACCTGGGAACTGGTTGGTGGAAGAACCATGATGTCCGCAGCCCACACAGCAGAGAAGCGATGGGCACAGTCTGGGTCACTCAGCACCTCTACCGACTTCGCCCACGCCTGGATGGGCGAGACAGCAGTGGCTAATGGGTGCCAGGAGAGCTGAGTGGGGCCATAGAGGAAGTCTCGAATGTCGCCATCGGGGATTGTGGAAACCACAGACTGTCAGACTCAGAGAGTGTCCAATAGGCCTGACTGCAGGGCCGTCAGCCCCTGCTTAACCAGCAAGCAGGGGCGTACTCCATATTAAGAACCCTCCAGAGTTGAGCCCAGGGGCCAGGGAGGGAGGTGCTAGTGCCCAGCAGAGAGGCAGAAAGACTGGCATACGTGGGTCCATTGGCTGTCCCTGTCCAAGCAGGAAGCTGCCACAGCCTTTCTGAGCCGCTGTAGCAGGTGTCCTTGGAGCCCACACCAGCCTTGGTTGGGCCCCAGGACCTATTAATATCTGTCCCAAGGAGCTGGGCCAGCGAAGGCCTGCTAGCCCCTCACTTCCGCCTGGGCTAGGGGTTCACGGCCCTGGCTGGATGTGTTTGGCAGGGGTGGTCTCTGGGCTGTGTGTGGGGACAGATGGGGGCATAGGGGCAGAAGACAGTCTGTGAGGGCAGCACCTGGGCCTCCTTTCTCACTGTCCCTCCCATTTCTTCCTCTCTCCTCTGCCCTTCACCCCCGCCGCCACCACCCTTCCCCTGTCCCTACCCTCTTCTCTGTTGCAGGGGGCCATCCTCACTACCATGCTGGCCACCAGGAACTTCTCGGGTATGTCTGGGACCTCAGCATCCCCAACTCGTCTTGCACTGGTCTGCTGGGGCAGCATCCTACTGAATGTTGGGGTGCTCTCCACCCAAGGGCCTGGGCCAGAGGTTGCTGTAGATGACTGTGGGGCTTAGGCCTTACCCACCACCCACTTGAAGTCCAAGGTCGCTCCCCACTGCCCCGCTGGGCTGGCGTTCTCCAAAGGGGCTAGTCATGGGAGCAGACTTCCTGAATGTTGGGGTACAGATCCAGGTTGGACTGAGCTAGGCCAGGAGAAACACTGCCACCCGTCATTCTTGGAGTGCTGTGCTAAGCACGCCCCATGCACCCCACTGGGTAGCTCATGACAAAGAAGTTAGGGGATGCTGCCATCCCTTTGGTCCAGATGAGGAAACTGAGGGAGATGGGGTCTGACTCCCCACACTGCTTCAGAGAGGCATCGCCCAGGTTCAGCACAGGTCTGACCAGCCTGAGCCAGTGCCCCTAAGTAGCCTGGGTCACCCGGCAGCCCAGACGAGGAGCCTCCAGGCCTTTGGCCAAAGCTGAGCCAGTTAAGTTGGGGAGCGCCCAATGACCTGTGGCATGTGGCCCCAAAGAGAGTAGGAGAAGGGAGTAGTGCCAGGGCTTAGCAGGAAACTCCCCTTGGCTCAGTGGAGAGGGGTGGGGCCCTTGCCCGCCAGAGCTGCCCTCTGGAGCCCAGGAAGGCTGATGGGGCAGCTGAGTCGAGAGATATAACAAGCTCACCTGAGGGGCCCTCTGGCGGGGGCCCCGCCAGCAGAGATGGCTTCAGGGGCCATGTGGCCACCACTATACTCGGGGAGGGGGCTCAGCTCTGAGAAGGGGAATGCAGGGCCTTGGATTCATGAAGGGCCCATCTGCTGGGTAAGCCGGCAAGAAGAGGGGGCCCCAGAGGTGAGAGCCACCACACAGACCCCTCTTCCACTCTCTCCCTGCACAGGGATCCGACAGGTCCTTACCCTGAAAGATGAGCTGCCCAGATAGTCAGAGTCTTTTTTTAACAACCAAAGCTCCCCTAGACAATTCCAGCCCCCAGCTCACAAAACGGTGCCTGTGGGCAGATCCAGTCGCTACATGTGCTCTTTGGGGTCAGCAAAGACGTAAGTGTCTGTTTTTTAGAACAGGCACAACGGACTTGGAAATCAAGGGGCTCAGGAAAGCCCCCAAATGTCTGGCTTCCGTTCAAAGTCTGAGTATCTGCCCTGCTGTCGTTCAAAGTCTGAGTATCTGCCCTGCTGTCCGGTGGAGGCTCCGGGATGCTCTCCTCCAGGGGGCGCGCTTCCAGCCTCTCCGGTCTGCGTGGCTGTGGGGCCTGTCTCCATGAATGTGGCCTGTCTATGGAAGTGGGAAGGGAGGTCAGGTTCCTTACACCGGGCTCTGTTCAAAGCGGGAATATGAAAGACTGTCTGAAAGCGCTATATGTTTTAAGAAATTATTCTCTTGGCTGGCCCTCTCACTTCATTCATGCTCATTGCTAAGGGCGTAATGGTGTAGTGGGCAGCTAACCATGAGGTCAGGAGCTTGAAACCACCAGCCGCTCCGAGGGGGAAAGATGAGGTTTCCTGCACCCATAAAGAGTTCCAGTCTCAGACATCCACAGGCCCCGCCCTATAGGGTTGCCATGAAACAGAACTGACTTGATGGCAGTGAGTTTGGGCGTTTGGGGGGTGGGGGGCCGGGGGTGACGTAGTGGTTACACAGTGATCTGCTAACCGCCAGGGCATTAAATCCAAGGTCCTTAGTTCAAAACCAGCCCCTGCTCCTGGAAACAGGCGACTCTTCCTACTTTCCTGATGCTGTCCTGTGGGGTCGCTATGAGTCAGGCCGAGCTGATTGATGGCAGCAAGTTTGGTTTGGGCCACTCTGAGAACTTGGGTGTCCAGCCCCTTCCCCAACCCTCCAAATCTCCCCTCTCATGGAAGAAGAAACTGAGCCCCTGAGAAGGAGGTCACTAACTATTGGTGACAGAGCCAGGCTCCTTCTGCTCCAGCCTTGGCTTTGACTGAGGCCACCTCCCCAAGGGCAGGCTCCTGGGGGGTTCCTCTGCCCCAGTCTCCCAGCAGGGACCGAGGCACAGGGTGAGCCTTGCTGGAGTCCTGACCCCAGTCCACTAACCACTGACCTTAGATGGGACCTCTTCCCTCTCTGCACCTCGATTTCTCGATCTGAAAAACGGGCCTGCGAGCCTCCCACCATGTGGTAGCTCTCAGGGACATGTGGTGGTGACAGGGCCCCATCAGCTGTCACGTGGGAAGGGCTGCTCTTAGGTCAGCCCACCTCTTGGGTCGTCATTCTGAGGTTAGGGGTGGGGGGTAGGGGCGGGGGAGTGGTGAAAGAGGGGGAGGGTTGGCTGGGCCTCTGGCTCCTCTGGACAGCTCAGAAGCAGGGAGTGTTCATGGACTGGGCAGGGCCACACCAAGGGACTATGCTAGAGTGGGAAGTAGGGCCCATGGGCGGGAGGGGGCTGAGGAAAATGAGAGGGGAAGGCCAGGAGGGGACCCTGCATCCTTGCTTTGCAGCAAAGAGGGACACTTCAGGTCGTGAGTGGAATGTGAGGGGGACAGGCAAGAGCTCGTGGGGCGCTGGCATCCGCACCCGTACCCCATTCCAGCTCGTCTCTTCAGGTCACTAGGAAAATAAAGTACAGTGACGAACTGTTTACTGAGCACCTACTTTATATATATCCTGCCTCGTTGAACTTAAGGCACTTGCTTACGGGTGAGAGCCGGGTGCCAGGCTGGCCCAGGCTGGGCATTCCACGCCATTTCCTGGCTGGTGGCCTCTCCCGGGGCTCTGGCCAGTAGATGAGTGGGAGGGGAAGGGAAATGGCAGTGGCCAGGCCTCCCTGAGAGTGATGGCCCCACTGTGTGGTCCACCAGGAAGATAGCCAGTCCAGCGTGGGGCTGTGGAGCCCCGGAGCAAGGCTGGAGTGGGTGCTCTGGCAGGGGTGGGCCCCAAAGGGGCATCTGCTTCTTGTCATCGGCAAAGCTCAGACTGCAGCTGTCCAGAGGGGGGAGGCAGGGCTGACACATGACCTCCACAGCAGCATGGGGCTAAAATTAGAGAGGATGGGGAGGGAGCGGCGACCAGCCCCGGGCCGGGCCGGCTGGCAGTCAGGCCTCCGGTGGGCCACCGACAGCGGGGGTGGTGACCAGGACGAGGGGAAATTCCGAGGCTGAAACAGCAGCCCCACCGCCCAGGACACTCCGGCCACTTCCCTGGACCCATGGGGCCCGAGGGGCATGCTCAGGACTGCTGAGAAGCTAGAGCTCAGGCCACCGAGAGCTACTGGGTGGCTGAGCAGGGCAGGGGCGGAGGAAGCCTCACAGGACCGCTCTGTGCCCCGCAGCGTCCGCCTGCCCGCGCGAGGATGCTGCTCTTCCTCGCCCTGTGGGCCCTGGTGCCCTGCCTGGTGTTGGTAACCCTCTACTTTCTCTCCTCTGCAGGAGGCAAGAGCGGGGGAAACAAGAAGAATGATGGTGTGAAGGTAAGCTCCCGAGAGCTGGCAGGGCAGCCGTCCGGTGGCCTTCCCACCCTCACCGACTGGCTTCAGAGCTGAGCCACCACCAGGCCCTGCTGATGGAGGTCTAGGCAGACCTGTAGTACCTGTGGCCAGGCTGTCACCAGGCCCGAGACCCAGGCTTCAAGTGTCTGCCCTCCTGCCCGGTGTGCTGGGGTTTGGCTGGCGGGGGCAGGCTGGGGCCAAGGGCAGGTGGCCTGAGGTGTGAGGGAGGGGCTGGTCTATAGGTTTCTGAAAGCTAGAGACCTGGGGAGGTGGGGGTGGGGGGACCTGAATAAAGGTGAGCCCAGGGGCGGCTCCTTTTCCCAAGGGTGGGCTGCTGAAACGGGCCCCTGCCTGCTGCACCCCTGGCCTAGCCCACAAAACCTGGGGAGGACAGAGCTGTCCTCTTACCTCTGGGACCCAGAGGTGTCTCGGCCTCCAAGGCCCCTGACCCCTGCCAAGCCCCAGGGGCTGGGGGAGACCCAGGCCCTCTCTATGACTCCCCCCACATACTCCAAATGCCCGTGTTGCTTCCCTCCCCTATGCTGAGCCCTCCTTCCTGCCTGTCTCTCTCCTCCTCTGCTCTTGGGCCTGGGCCCCGCTCTGTCACTGGATCGCTGGTTCTGCGTGCGCCTGCCCTTCTCTCCAGCCCTGCCTTTGTGGGCTCAGAGCCCTGCCTGGCCGGGCTCCCAGGGCGGGGCCGGCCCGGGACCTGGGAGGTCCGAAGGTGCTCCAGACTCTGCAGCCAGGTGTTCTGGTGGCTTTGTGCAGGGTGGCACTGATGGCCGCAGGCTGCTGGCTTCACTTAGTTGGGGGTGAGTGAGAGGGTCCCGGCCGGGTGTCAGAGATGGGCTAGATGGCCCCTCTGCCCCAAGCCCTCGGCAGGGCTGAGTGTCCCCCGAGGTGGCCGGGCAGCAATCGGGGCGCTGTGGACGGGTTGTCCACTACAAGCAGCTGGCCGTGTGGGAGAATTAGCGAAGACACCGGGTGCACACTGAAGGTGTAGTCCAGGGCCAGCAGGGCCCCCTGCCCCTGGATGCCTGCCACTCACTGGCAGGGCCCTTTCTCTCTGGTGCCCTGGACTGTGGGCCACCATGTCTTGGGAAAAGAACGTTTGCTCAGGAAACTGTTTGGAAGGCCAACCCGATCTGTAGCCTGAACAGATCCCATCCTGGAGGCCGGAGTTCAGCGCTGGCTGACTTGTTGTTTGTTTGGAATGGACTGTGGAGGACTCTCCTTTGCGCCCCCCAGTTCTGGAGAGTGATGTGGGGCAGGTCGCACGTGCGGGGCTGTGTGTTTCCGGTGCTGAGCTGGACTGCTGGAGCCCTTGAGGAAAACCATCGCCCTGACCCCGGCATGGGGGTGCTGGGGATAGAGGCCACTGATGGCAGGCCTGGTGGGGGCTGCACTCCAGGTGGGTGAAGGACGAAGGGACGGAGGGGCCGGCCTAGTCTGCTGGCTGTTAAGGCTGCGGGAGCTTGAGCCGGCTCCTCTCGGAGTGAGACCAGGCAGGGTTCCAGGAGAGGGGTCTCAGTTGATGGGGACGGCTGGCCTGGAGTCTCTCACTGGGCCTGCCAAGCAGGGTGCCGGGCTCCACATAGCCAGAACAGAGGACTGACGTCTCAGGGTGGCCCGGGCCTGGTGGAGAGAGAGGCAGAGACCACGCTGGCTGCCAAGGCTTCCCTCCCACACATGGAGGGAAAAGGAAGAGGGAATATGCTGCTTCCTGCTTCAGGGGTAGAGCCTGGGGGGGGGTGGGGGGGGGTGTTTCCAGGCACCTTCACTACCAGAGGGCCTGGGCCTTGAGTGGGGAAGGCAGCTGAGGGTCTGTGCTCACCCCTCAGTGGCTGTGGGAGGGAATGGAGGCTGCTGTGGGGCGTGGGGAACCCTGGCGCCCCGCTTCTTGTGTGGTCTAGAGGGGAGAGCACCGTGTTCTCTTTGCACCTGAGTCCTCGAGACGTCTAAGCCAGCTGGGGCTGAGCTGAGGAAAGAGTATAGAGGCCAACACGGGCACAGACCCGGGATTCTGAGCAACGGGACAGGATGCTGCACTGCGTGGACACTTAGGGCTTTGACCGGCCTCCGCCCCAACACCCGTGCTGACTGTAGACCCCCGCCACCCTGTGGCCCTGAGACTGGACTCGACTTTCTGTGACCGTCCCTGGGGAACTAAACTCTAAAGCAGCTGGTGTGAGGGTTTCCGTATCACCATCCGTCGCCGTTTGGAGAAATGGAGACTTCCTGCCAGCAAGCAGCCATGCCCCCACCCCGCCACTGCCCCCGGCTGCGCCTAAACATGATCAAGCCCACCGCCAATGCACCGACACCCAGCCCTAGGGTCCTGCCTCACTGAGGAGGGACAGACACCTCCCGTCTTCCACCCACTCACTGCCGCTGTTGGTGTCCCGTCGTGCAGTTGTGACCCTCCCCCGTGTCCCATCCTGTCACCGTGCGTCCGAATCTGATGCAGTCTGCTCTGTGTTCCCTCCTTGTGTCCTGCCTGGAACCCCCTGGCCTCCGTGCAGCTCCTCAGGTTTCTGCTGACAGCTGAGCTGTGTGGGCCTGTGGCCTGACCCACAAGCACCGTGCCCAGCGGGGCTCCACCAGCTAGCCAGCGAGGCTGAAGCTGCAGGAGGGAGGGAGGAGGAAGGGGGAGCTAACTGCAGGAAGCCCCCTGTCTGTCTGGCCCGGCTGGGGAGGTCTGTGAGGCGTCCTGATGCCTGCTGGGAACCCAGCCATGTCTGCGGAGGCCCTGGACGGGGAGCCTAGGGTCCGGTGCACCTGCACTTGAAGTCAGAAAGCCCACGATTTGGCCCTGAGCACCGGTGCACCGCCCTGGCCAAGGCCTCCCCTGGAGGGCATCCTCTCCGGGCTCTCCTCGATGCCCACCCAGCAGTTGGAGAGGCCTCCTGTCCTCCCGAATGCGCCTGCACCCAGAGCAGGACGGGCGTTACTGGAGAGAGGCTCAGAGAGTGAGGAGAAAGGGGTCCTGCTTGCAGCTCTGCTAGGGCTAACCTAAGACCGCAGGCAAGGGCACGGCTGCTCGCGGGGCCTCGGGTTCGCCCTGTGCAGATGAAGGGTCAGCCCCAGCCTGCATTCTCTGTGAGTGGGAGTCTTTGAGACTCCCGACTCGCACTAAGACAAGGAGATTATCTACATTTGTCCTCTTCCTTCAACGGCCAACCCAGGGGAGGCTACAAATGCCCCAAGCTAGAACTGCCCGGTTGGCAGCACCCAAAGGTCCCCAACCTGGGCTCAGCTGCACTGCTGTGCTCCCCAGGGGGCCAGTCACCATGCAGGATGTCAAAGGTCACGTAGAGGACCGGGCCTGCGCTGGAGTCACCTGGGGTTATTGCTGAAAATGGAGGTGTCCCCGCCCCACCTCCACCCCCAGACCTACTCATCAGCCCCTTGGAGAGGGTCTGGTTCTGTATGGTTTGGGCCAGTTTCCAAACCAGTCGTACACTCCACCAGGAGAGGGGTCCTCTCCCAGACAGGCTGAGAGTCAGCCTAGGAGCAGCCACTGGGCCTGGTCTCCTGACCTGAGAGCCCATTGTCCTCCAGGAGCACTGGCTTCTGGGGCAGAGCTGGGAAAAGCATTCCCTTTCCCCAGGCGCTTGGTGCAGGGGGCTTGTCCTGGATTGGAGAGAGAGCCGGGTAGGTGTTGACCCCGCCCTAGGACTTAGGGACGAAAGAGGCCTGGCTGGTGCTGTCAGTCGGCTGTGGCCCAGGGGAGCCCCGATTCGTGTCCTGACATCAAGTTGGCAAAGGCCCCCAGACCCATCCTCTTTCCACCTCGTCCATGTCGTCCGCTGGCCCCTGCTGTTTTCACGCGGTGTCTCTTCCTGCCCCCTCTCTTCTCCTTGTTTTTCCAGAAAAGAAAGTCCAGTTCCAGCGTTCAGTTAATGGTGAGTGTCTGCTGTCTCCGAACTGCCGGTAAATGCTGGGCCTCGAACCCTCGCTCCTGCCTCGCTCCTGCAGGCTGCGCCGGGAAGCGGGGGCGGGGAGAGGGCGCTCAGAGCGTGCTTGGTACGTGTGCGTTGTGTGACAACATGTGTGTTGTGTGTGTGTGCGTGTGTGTTGTTTGGTGTTTCTGTTAACACCTTCAACTTCATGGCCCGGACCAGCAGCCTGACAGTAGAACTGAGAGCTCCCTCTGGTACGCAGGTGGATTTGAACCCTCACCCCCGTGCAGCCCTGAGCTTCTCGCTTCACCCTGCCCCTTGGCAGTAGGACTCATCTCAGGGCTTGGTTGTTGCCAGTTGTGGCGAGGGTGGGGCTTGGTTTGGCAAGACGGCGGACGGCGGCCATCATAGAGACCCTTCTTGAGCTTCTGCAAGGCTGCCGGGGCCTGCTGGGGGCCAAGGAGCCCCCACCCTGCCTCTGCTCAGCCTCGGGGTTCAGGGGTGGCATGGTGACCTGCTCCTCCTCTTCTGACTCCATTGCCGTCTCACTGCAGTGTGGTTCTTCTCCTTTCTAACAAGTCTGCCCTTCCTCACACCGGCCCTGCTCCCGCCACCCCCCTTTCCTCCTCTCCCCCGACTCTCTGGCCCCATGGCGTCTCTCTGCTCGCCCACATCATCCCCTTCGCTTCCTTGAGCAGACAGGGCCCAGACAGCCCACCACTCTTCCAGAAAGGCCAGGCTTCTTTTTGCATCCATTCCTCCACCCCCACCCCTCCACCAGCCACCTGCTTAGCTGCCCCCCCCCCCCACCCTTAGGCTTGACAGTCCGGCGGGATTCTCAGGGCAGCATCCGACGGATGGAGGAGCCCAGGTGGCTTGCTGGGATCAGCAGCAGCAGCAGCATGAGGCAGCGGGGGTGGCCCCAGCCAGCGGCACCTGGTCTTGGGGCTGGGGTGAGCTCACCACACACTGTCTTCCCTCCTGGCAGGAATCCTCGGAGAGCACCAACACCACCATTGAGGACGAAGACACCAAAGGTAGGGCAGCTCTTGCCTCCAGTAACTGGGCCCTGGGCCTCACTGACAGCGTCTGCTGGCAAGACACGCCCCCCCGGCCCCCCCCCCCCCGCCCTCTTCACAGAGCCCCACCCAGGAGCCTTCCAGATGGGCGTGTGGCAGGGCCGCTTCCCCATGTGGTGGTGTGCTCAGATCACGCATGGGATTTTAGGGTTCTGAATTTATTTTGATCTGTAGTAGAAAAAAAAATTTTTGAACTTAATATAATCCAAATTTGTGGTCATGGGGAAAACCTAGGGTCGCAGTATAAAATTTCCTTCTGAAGTAAGTGCACTTAAGTTTTCTTTTCTTTCTTTTTTTTATTGGGGGACTCTCACAGCTCTTATAACAATCTATCCATCCATTGTGTCAAGCATACGCGTACATATGTTGCCATCATCATTTTCCAAGCATTTCCTTTCTACTTGAGCGCTTGGTATCAGCTCCTCTTCTTTCCCTCCCTCCCCCCACTTCCACCCTCATGACCCCTGGATAAATCATAAATTATTATTATTATTATTTTCCTATCTTGCACCGACCGCTGTCTCTCTTCCCCCATGTTGCTGTGGTTCCATCCTTAATTTTTCTTAAGGGCGTTGATTAAGGCATGGGCACCCGCACGCATGTCCCAGCAATAGCAGTAGAGGCTGGGGCAGCAAACCCCAGCAAGTTCATCTGACCTGAGAATGGGGTGCGCAGCTGGAAGTCAGCCAGCCATGCAGGGCCTGCTGTGGCCAGTGGCTCACAGGAGTGAACCCTCGGGCCACTGACCAGACAGTTAGAGAGGCCATGCCAATGATGCCTATGCTCGTGATGGCCACCGCGCCTGGGACAGGTCCATGCACCAGACCCGGTTCTAAGTACTCTGTGTGTATTCACGCCATCGCTGCACGCTGTCGCCCAGGGAACAGAGGGCAGAGAGGATGAGTCCATGTGCCAGAGCTCTCCTGGCCAGGCCGGTGGAGGCAGGGCTGGAACTGGAGCAGCCTGGCCCACTCTGGGGCCTCAGTGAGCAGAGCCTGCCTATGGGGCACCGATGCTCTGGTCTCTGCTCAGGAGCAGCAGTCCCTGCTGGCCCCACCACGGCCACCCCCACCCTCGTCGCTCCCCTTGGATGGGCGCAGGCCAACACAAGGGCTCTGCACTCAGGTGGGCCAGAGATGCCTTGTTGAAAATGTAGAAAAAAGGTTGTTGGCCTAGACCAGTGGTTCTCAACCTTCCTAATGCCGCGACCCTTTAATACAGTTCCTCATGTTGTGATGACCCCCCCCAACCATAAAAGTATTTTTGTTGCTACTTCATCACTGTCATTTTGATGAATCAGGTGACCCCTGTGAAAGGGTCGTTTGACCCCCAAAGGGGTTGCAACCCACAGGTTGAGAACCGCAGGCATAGACCCCCTGGGAGCTCAGCTAAACCCGCTTAAACACTTCTCAGGACTTGAGCTACTCCGCCCCGTAAGGCATGCAGTGCTTGGACATGGGGCCTTTGCTCGTGTGATAAGTATTGTGGCACTAGTGCAACTCAGGCGGTAAAGCCAGTCAACCATGCCCATGCCATCACTGCTTCGATGGATACTCTGGGAGACTGCCACCCACCCCGCCCAGCTGTGAGGTGCCCCTGGTATGGGCTGTCCCCAGCTCGGGGAAGAGGTCACCCTGTCACCACAGCCTGGCACTAAGCACTCAATCGTTCTGTTGTGAGGGCGCGAGGGACCACCTTGGCACCAGGGGTAAAAAGGCACTCTTCTCCCGAGACGGGAACCCCTCATCGAAGGCCTGGAAGTCCTCCTGAAAGTTGGAGCCACGTGGGACTCCACACCAGGGCTTGGAGCTCGGCCCGCTGTGAAGAGCCCGGAGGTGAGCGACCGGTGAGAGGGGAACTGGGCACAGCCCCAACAGAGACTGATGGCGCCACGCAGGAGAGACGGAGCCACGGTGACACGGTGTGAAGTGATGGCCATCGAGCTGCTCACAGACATGGTGAATGGATGTGTATTTGGTCGTGCATAGTACCACCATAAAATATATCTTTTTAAATACAGTACCCAGAAGAAGCATGCCTCAGTCCGGTCAGGTGAGCATCCTGAGCCCTGGGGGGCATCATCGGCTAAGCACACCCCGGCCCTGTGGAATCCACCTCCATGGACCAAGCCCCTGCCATTGCTAGGATGTGCCTCCTGCTCTGGGCCTGCCCCAGTGGTAAGAGCTTGGCATGGCCTCCGAATCTTCGTCTTGGACCAGATGGGGACTGTGGAGGTGACCTAGCTCTGGGACTCCCCTCAAGAGTACATTTGCTGGACAATTTCAAGTTATTCAACCTCTCTGAGCCTCCATTTCCTTAACAGTAAACTCTGCCCAGCAGTACCATCAAGTTGGATTCTGACTCAGATGGACCTCACATAGGGTTTTCTGAGACTACAGATCTTTATGGGAGCAGGCAGCCTCATTTTTCTCCCTCGGAGTAGCTGGCAGGTTTGAACCACCGACCTTGTGGTTAGCAGCCCAACGCCTCACCCGCAGCACCACGGGGTGTGTTGTCAACAGTGACAAGGTGGCCCAGTACCAGCCTTCACATTGGCGTGCAGCTGGAATGAGAGCTCGGTCACGCTGTTGGTCAAGCCGATGGCAACTCGTCCTGTCCTTCTCCAGCACAGAAGGAAACGTGGCCCAGGCCAGCACCACCCTCACAGTGGTCCTTACGCTTGAACCCACGGTGGCAGCCACTGTGTTGATCCACGTGATGAAGGGCCTTCCTCTCCTTCACGGACCCTCCACTGTACCCAGCCTGGTGTCCTTCTCCAGGGACTGGCCTCTCCTGACAACATGTCCAACGTACGTGCGATGAAGTCTTGCCATCCTGCTAGTGTTTGCAAGACCGCTGGAATAGCTTCCCCTTCAGAGCAGCACGCCGCAATGGCTGAATAAACCCTCATCTCGCTCCTTTGGACTGGGGTTTCTGGTTGGATGGACTGGAGTTTCTGGTCCTCTGCAGTAATTTTGGGCCGGATATTTGTATGCGAAGCAGACAAGGAATATGTTCTAGAATAGATGGCAGCATTTGTGCACATTGTTAACACAAAATACGAGGCGTCCATAGCCTGTCCCACCTGGGGTGATGGGTTGGGGCTGTCTCTGAGAGGCCCTGCTTTTGCAATCCTCCTCCCCTGCTTTAGAGGGATCTGGATGGACATTTGTGTCAGGCGTTGCGGTCTAGTTCACCTGGTGGCATAGTGGGCTGTGCATGGAGCTAACCACAGACAGAGTCAGCTGTTCGAACCCACCAGGGGCTCCGTGGGAGAAAGAGGCTGGCTGCCTGCATGAAGATGTTACGTCTCAGAAGCCCCAAGAGGCAGTACTGCCCTGTCCGATAGGGCCGCTCTGAGTCGGAACCCACTTGGTGGCCATCAGTTTGGCTTGGGTGGCGGCCCCTGTGGGCACAGTGGTTAAGCACATGGCTGCCGCGGGAGCCTCCCCAGCAGCTCCACAGGAGACAGGCTTTCTCCCCCAAAGATTAGGACCTTGCAAACTCCATGGGGTCATTGTGCTCCAAACTGTGGGGTCACTATGAGTCAGAACTGAGTTGAGGGCAACTAACAACCACCGCCCCCCACCTGACCCCCAAAGCCTCAGAGGCGAGGTCCGGTGCCATGATGGCCCCCTGGGCAGGCAGGCACCCCTTCCTGGGCATGGCAGGAAAGATCTCGGCTCCCCCAGCTCCCCCAGGCTCCAGGAAGGTTTCCAAAGAGGCACTTTCTGGTGCTAATTTGTTAAGTCTTCATACTAAGTGAGACAAGCAGCTGGCGGGATGGACTCTGACCCAACATTAAAGTTAATTAGAAATGTCATCCTTCTGGGAAAATTTTCCCCCAAGCAGAGAAAGGGACATTAATATTTCAGAGCACCCGGGCTGACTGCACCGGCCTGCTGGCGCCCTCTGAGCTGCCCGGGGCTCTGCCCTGCTCCCTCCCCAGCCCTCCCTCCTCCTGGAGCCTCCCATGAAAAATGGATTTCCTCTCCATCCCAAAGAGCCATCTCAGACTCTGGGCAGAGACATTCTGGCAAATGTCAGCCAGGAATTCTGACCCCACCTCTGTTTGGTGTGCTGTGTGACCTCAGGAGAGTCCCTTCACCTCTCTGGGGCTGCAGTTTCCCCATCTACTGAGCGTACACCTGGTTGGGAATGAGGGACTCACAAGGTTCTGGGGGGCTGCTGCAAAGCAGGGGCCATGCCTGCTCAGCGCTTCCTCCAGATCTCAGGACACTGGCCTTCAGATCCAGGGTGCGTCCAGGAGGTTCCCGCCAGCCCACTACACACTGGCTTTCTGCGTGGCTGGAGGGACAGGCTCATGAGCTGGGGTCCGCAGGGGCCAGGCCAGCAGTGTGGTTAGAAGACCATGCTTGTGGGGCTCAGAGGTTGACGCGACCCACACTTGAGGTCCTTCTGACTCGGAGCGACCCTCTAGGACGGAGCAGAACTGCCCCTGTGTCCAGGAAGTCTTTACTGGAGAAGAAAGCTTCGTCTTTCCCCCATGGGGTGGCCAGCCGCCGCGAGGGCTCTGAAGAATGGCTTGACCCTCAGAGGGACTTCCTCTTCAGGATGATGTGTGGATGCTTCAACTCTGGAAGCACTGTCTCGGCCTGCTTCAATCGAGGTGTGGAGCCCAGGCCGGAGAAGGGGACAGAGAATGCCACCCTTGGACGATCTCTCTGATGGTCAGAGCATACGTGAGGGCTGTGCCGGCAGGAGGTCCTTGCCCCAGGGCCTGGGAGTGGCCTCCTGGGGGCTGGGAAGGCCTGCTGGAAGGGGCGTGAGGTGAGGAGCAGGCCCTCCCCACAGGACCCTGGAAGGCAAAATGCATCCCCAGAGGGCACTGTGAGGGGTGGTTTTCTTGGAGACAGAGTTTGACTTTAAGGAAGAGGGGGTCTGAGTGGTTCAGTGGTGGAAACCCTCACTTTCCCTCTGCCAGACTGCTCTTCCTGGGCAGCTCCCGCCCCCACGCCCGCCGTCTGTCAGCAGGGACTTGCGTGGTGCGGCTGCGGACAAGTCTCAGCAGAGCTTCCAGGCTCAGGTGCACAAGGAAGGAAGATCTGGGGACCCACTTCTGCGCTGAGTGCTCGAAGGAGCACTACAGTCCAGTCCGCAGCCATTCAGACGGGGGTTTTATTCTGTCATTGCCAGGGCCGCTTGTAGAGTCAGGGGGCTGCGCACTGGCAGCGAACAACAGTGACAACACCACCACCCACCAGGGCGCCAGCCTCAAGGATCCAGCCAACCACCACTTACCGGGGTGTGAGCTCACTGGGGGCAAAGCCTGTGAGACGTCTGCACACTGTCAAGTGGGAGGTTGGCTTCCAGGCCAAGGACTTGCACAACTGTGCTGGCTGGGGTGGCAGGCTGGAGTCTCCTCCACTGGCCCCTGTTATCCGGTTTCCAGATAACAGTCACAACAGCTCTCCTTGAAGGACTGCCGGGCACTGCTGTGTCGCTTGGCACAGTGCATCACTACTTGCCTAAGAGTACTGATGCGCGGACAGCCCTGGAGTGCTGTCAGGTAAGTGTTGGACTGCGAACTGTAAGGCCAGTGGTTGAAACCCACCGGCCGCTCTGCAGCGGAAAGATGAAGCGATGTGTACCCTATAGGGGGCCGCCCTGTGGGGCTCAACTCAATGGCAGTGCGTTTGGGTGTTTTTGTTCTGTTTTATTGTTTCTATGAAAGAACCCTTCCTGGCTTTTGGTGAGGTCCGTATGGTGTCAGCTATTTCTATTGATGAGCTCTAAACACAATGCGCAGAGCAGCCATGTGATTGGTCAGGCCTGGATGACTGGAGAGAAAAATCCAGGAACAATCATCTATGTGTAAGAAAGAGCTTTATATCAAGAAGCTTTATATATCAGGAGAACATCCCAGCCCAATTCAACTCAAGTCCACAGTCTGATACTAGTCCATAAGGCCCTCTTCAGACTCACGCGGTCACATGCAATGATGCAGGAAGATCTCAGGCCAGTGGGTGCAATGTCATATGGATCCAATGGTGGTGGCTCTGGCAGGTCTCAGAGTGACTCTTCAACAGGAAGGTGAAGGCAGAGAGAGGGGAGGGCCCTCCTTATGAGAAGGCCACACTCACAAGGAGGCACCATCAGGCTGTGACCTGATTGACCGGCTAGACTCCACCCTACACTTTCATATCTCTTCAAGCTGGCATACCACGGTTCCTTTAGTATCCCCACTCTATATACTGGGGCACTGAGGCACCTCGTTCTGGGTCACACGGAGCCAAGACCCATACTCAGCGAGACTGGCTCCTGAGCCCCTCGGGGACGAGATGATGTTGCTGAATGCCACGCAATGCCCAGCTGGGCGGGTTCTGAAGGTGTACAGATAGCACAAGTGCCCCAGCCCATCAGAGGCCATCACCCCGATTCCCCAGGGGAGCAGTTGGAGGGTGTGGTGGGAGAGGGTCCTTGGGCCTATCTTTCTGGGCCTTCCCACCCTCAGTCTCCATGTCCCCAGGGGAGGACAAAGGAGGCCAGGCTCTGTGTAGCGGAGGGTGGCGACTCCAGGGGGGGGCTTCAGAAGCATATCATCAGACCTTTCTTCCGAGGTGCCTCTGGGCACGCGGGAACTCCGGTCTTTCCGTTAGCAGTGAGCTAATCCTTTACACCCCCCAGAGACCCCTGGCCAATGGCTGAGGAGAGGTTGCAGATGGCCATCACTGCATCTTCTGAGAGCCCACCAGGTGCCCGGGGCTGTGAGCCCACCTGAGAGGCAGGTGGCGTGGAGAAGAGGGTGAGGGGAAGTGCAGGTGCCTCGGAGCTAGTCATTTAAGCTCCTCACGGTGACTGGGAAGAGACCACCACAGTGACGTCTGCCGTGAGAGTCCAGATTCTTTGAACAGAACAGACAGGGCAATGCCAGGCCCATCATTCATTCGTTCATTCACGAAAGCCTCTGTTCTAGGCTCCATGTAACCTCGGGGCAGGGGCAGCTTCAGGCCAGCCTTGTGCGGAATGGGGCCCCTTTAAACAAGAGGGTGAGGTGTTTGCTAAGACCTGGAGCGTGTGGGAGAATGCTGGCTGGGAGCCAGGCTCCGCACCAGGAATGTCCTGTGTCCTTGGGCAAGTTGCAACTCTTACCACGCCCCAGCATCCCCATCCGTGTGACAGGGGGCTGACCTTCCGGGATTCTTCTTGGCCTGGTGCCTTATGACTCTGTCTTCTGGCCACCCAGTGTAGAGGCAGTGGCCCTGGTGTGAGGAGCGGACGGGGACAGGCCTCCATCATGCAGAGAACTGTGGGGACTCAGACTGAGCTGGGCCTGTCACTGCCCCGACCCTGCTCCAGGAGGCTGGTTGGGTTTCTGCCGCAGGGCAGGGAATCTGGTGAGACTTCTGCTGGACTCTGCTGAGAGCCAGCATACCTGGCCTGTGTCGCTGCTGCTCGGGTTCCTCTGGTATGAAATCAGGGGACCCCAGCTCTGCCACCTCCCCGGCGTGTTTGTGAAGAGCCAATCTGGGGGCGAGGTGCAGGCAAATTCAGCACTCACAGGGTGTCCCTGCTGTGTGCCAGGCTCTGGGCCAAGTGCTGCAGCAGCATAGCCTCAGCCCACCCTGAGAACAAGCCAGCCAGCAGGACACTGCCGCCCCCCCTTTGACAGACCGGGGAAGATCACATGGTTTGTTTGCGTGGGCTGAGTGTGATCTGATGCTGAAACCTGTGTGTGAAGGAGGCCTTGTCCCCACTTCACAGATGGGAAAGCTGGGGCTCAGGATACCACTGAGCTAGTAAGAAAGCATGAGCCCAGGGCCCCCAGCATCTAGCCCTGCACTGGGGATCCGGGGGCAGAGGGGAGCCAGGTCTCAGCAACTTGGATTCTTTATGTCTGGAAGGTTCTCAGGGGCTCGGTGCCTGATTTCTCCAGGCACCCATAACTCACCAGGACTTACTGCAAGAGGTGCTACAGGACCCCAGGACACCTTTTGGCCCTGGGGGAGGAGCCCCTGGTTCATGGTGGCCAAGGACAAAGGCCACTCTTTGCAAAGCAAGGAGGCAGGGACCCCTCTCACCCTGTAGTCATGACCGGGGTGCTGTGCGGGCCTGGCGTCAGCACACTGGTTGGTTGGGTTGTTGGGAAGCAAAGGCTGCCCATTGAGATGCTGGCTCTGTCTTAGCCAGTGGAGGGAACTTTGACCTTGTGCATCTTGTGAAACCTGTTTCTCCTTTCGAGAAATGGGGTCGACGAGATATATGTCCCCAGGATGATGCGAAGACCAACAACATCATTGGTAGGAGGTCCCCAAGGGGGGACCCCCAGCTGGCACGCAGCGGTGACTCGGGAGTCAGTGTTGCTATGACCACTTCTCTGCTCCTCCTGCCTTGCAGTGCGGAAGCAGGAGATTATTAAAGTGACCGAACAGCTGATTGAAGCCATAAGCAACGGAGACTTTGAATCCTACACGTGAGTCACTGGACGCATTCTGCATGTACCTCTGCCTGGATCTCGCTTCACGGGGTGCTGGTGGTTAACTTGGGGGTTCTCGTCTCAGACCCTCCCTGGCTCTCCTTGCATGTGCTGTGGGCCAGGTGGAACGATTCGGCTCTGCATTCAGACTTACAGATTCTTCCTTAGTCCTACTGCATGGCCCTGGTCCTCAGCTTGGACTTCCTCAGACCTCCGAACTCGGAGGGGCAGATCTAAGGACAGGCAAGAATCCACAGGATGTGTGTGGCTGAGAGCCGAGGTGAGCCACGGTACCACAGGATGGAACCTGCACTCACCGGGAAGGAGACAGAATGCGTGGAGATCACGTGAACAGAACGCGTGTGAGATGGTACCCGTGTGCAGTGGGTCGGGCTGTGGGAGGCGGTGCCCAGGCTGAGCTGGATCGCCCCCTGGGGCTCACTTGGCAGAAGGGCTGGTACCCAGCTTTTGGCACTGCCTCCCCAGCACTGACAGGGCTTTAGATGTGGGCTTGAATCCCCAGGCCCCCCTCCTGCCTGTTGGGTTCAGGTGAGATGGTAATAACAGGGACAGGGCTTACTCCAGGGGCAGCCTGCTCCAGGGCCCCACTGTGCCCAGAGCTGAGGTTTATCTTCCAAAGGCTTGGCAGGCCAAGCACATTTTGACTGTGGGGAGGAGGTTTGTGGCTGGGGGTGGTGACGAATCCCCCAGAAAGTCACCGGCTCTCTCTGGAGGACAAGGACGTTGGCAGGCGCATGTGTGACCCGAGCCCAGCATGCTCCTCCGGGTGTGCACGCACGTGTCCCCTGTGCACGTACGTGGGACGGTGGAGAGGGCGGTGTGCACAGGCGTGTGTGCCTGGGTAGCACATCCAGCATGGAGCTGGGCAGATAAAGGGTCTCGATACGACTGTGGGAAGGGGTAGCAGGGTCTATCATGCCAGTGGTTCCGGAAGGACAGAGGGAGGGGCCCCCGGGGACCTCAAGCCTGCCCAGCCATTTGGGTGTCCCTGGGGAGCCCCTTCTTCCCCTGCGATGTCCTTGCCTGGCATCTGAATCCCGACTCCTGGCCATGACCTCTAGTGTAGGTGCCTCTCAGTCTGGCTCTGTGTAACTCTTCATCTTCCTGGGCCTCCGGCCCCGAAGTCCCTACACCCAGGAGGTAGGACGCCCACATACCTCCAAGACTGGGGCTCCCCCTGTGTGTGTCAGTCTCCAAGGCACTCAAAGTTGGGTTTGAAACAGGCCTCTCGGGCTGCCTTGGGCTTCCAGTCCTGGAAGATTCTAGAGTCTGAATCATACACACCCACCTCCTCAAACCCTGAACAGCGGGATACCACTGGAGCATCTGAGCCCCACGGGGAGAGGCCAGCTGCCTGGGCTCTCAGGGATGAGCAGGAGGGAGAAGGACCCGGGCCTCTCTGTCTCTCAGATCCCAGCCATCCGCTCAGCCAGTGCTGCCCCGACGTCCTCTTCCCAGCACCACCAGGTGCAGGCCTTACTTGCGCTGGGGCCTGGCGTCATGGTCAGGGCCACAAGGGCTCATCTTGGGCCATAGAAGGCTCCAGAGACCTGGGAAGGAGAGACTGGTTTTCCTCTTCCCGCTCCTGGTGGAAGAGGACCCCGAGGGAACCGTCAAGCTGCTGCCAACGATAGGGCACTTTGGGTCAGATGGACAAGCCTGGCTTAAAGAATGCAAGCCACATTCATGTGGAGGAAAGGGTGCCCCTTTGGGGGAGGCAGATCAGGAAGGAGCCCCCGGCCCAGGCAGAGGCTGGAGAGGGGAGAGCAGGGTGAGTTCCTCTCCAGCTGGCCGCTGGGCATCACACAGCTTGGCCCAACATCACAGTGCGAGGTGTGGAGACCTCACACTGCTGACAAGGGCTCCCTCCCAGTCAGTGGCAGTGCCAGGACCTGACACATCTTTCCAGTTCTAAATGCCCCACCTGGCAGCCCTGGCAGGCCCTTTTCCACCGGCAGCCTTACTGGGCCTGTAAGGCAGGCTGGACTGATTCCATCCCTCAGGTATGGCCCCGGGCAGCCCACTTCCTGCCCCAGCCGACTCTGGGAGACTGAAGTTCCTCCCAAAGTGAGCTCAGCCCTCTTTCTCTGCCCTCCTTCCCCAGGAAGATGTGCGACCCTGGAATGACAGCCTTCGAGCCCGAGGCTCTGGGGAACCTGGTCGAGGGCCTGGACTTCCATCGATTCTATTTTGAAAACTGTGAGCCAATCTCTTGTCTCTTGGGTGCCTGTTGTCTGCTCTCCTGTGTCCCCTGTCCAGTTGGATGGCGCAGCAGGGTGACGGGCAGGGCCCAGGGGCGGCTCAGGAGCCCAAGGAGTAGAAGAGCCTGTGTGGACAGGGTGGGTATCTTCTTGGCTCCTGCTTCTAATTCTGTCCAGGAGGCTGTCAGCTGCCCCTCCTGTGGCTGAGGATGTGGGAAAGGACCCCCACAACAGGGAAATGTGCGGCCAGCCCTCCCACCCTGCCTACCTACTGCCTTGCCAGGGGCCTGCGGAAGGGCTCGATGCCCACCAAGTGGCTAAAGGTCCCTCAGACCCCAAAAACCAAATTATGTGCTCGACATTTGGGACCATTCTGGCTGCCCAGATGGTCACAGCTGCTCAGGCTGAGCAAGTGTCCCCGTGGGGAGAGGAGAGGCCCTGAGCTCCTACTCTGTGCCCTGCCTGTTTGTCTAGGTCTCTGTCCTGTATGTCTGTCTTTCCTGGGCCCCTGGTCTACAGGAGGGCCAGTCTCAGCAGCTCTGACTCCAGACCGGCAAGGCTGAGGCTGGACCTATGTGTGCCTTTGTCTGCAACTCTCCTTGGCCAGGGGTCCTGGGGAGATCAGCCAAAGCCAGAAAGAAGGTTCTCCCCACCCCACCCCCCAAATGAAGGGCACATGCCTCTGAGGTGCCACAAGATGATTTGGGGTCAGTAAATAAGGAGAATCTGCAGTGACCAATTTCACATGGGTTTCCTATCAAAGATATGGTAGTAATAATAATAATAAAATAAATAAACAGCTGAAACGGTTCCCTACGTGGTAGTAAGTAAACACAAGGAAGCCCATGCGTATCATACTTGCTAGATATGCTGTCCCCATCAGGGATTGTAAATTTGCAAAACAACAGCAGCCAAAGGCTTTGCTTCTGTAGGAGCCCACTGGGGGCTGGGGAGAAAGCCCAGCCGGACTTGGAGGCCCTGCCTTGGATGTGGTGCAAAAATAGGAAGCTATTGATTGACTCCAGATTAGTAAGTAAGCACAAGGACGCCTGTGCTTACCTGGCTGTGTGTTCTCACAGTTTGGGGTATAGGTAGCCCCCCAGCCACACACACACCTGCAGTAGTTCACAGAGAGGGAGAAGCTTGCCCCTTTTTGATGCTCTCAGCATCTCCAGCTTCACCCGGGCAGGCTTAGTGGGTGCTAGCCTGACCTGCACACCTCTCTGTCGAACAGTGGGTCTTGGCACAGGTCCCTCAAAGGCAAGAGCAGGGGCTGGGACTCGATTCTGCTTTCACTGGGCTTCTTACTAAACCCATCCTGCCCCCTGGTGGTGGGTGAGGAGTGTTCGAGGGTTCATTGCTGTAAACGAACAGCGTGTCAGTTGAAGGGAATCGTCGGATGGCGTTAGTACAGGTGGCAGGAATCCTACGGCAGAACTTAAATGATGGAAGGAGAGCAGCTGAGCTAGTCCAACTCTTCACCATGGGGGGGGCGGGGGCCGGTCCAGGGGACACCGAGGCCCAGAGAGAGGAGAGGGCCTGTCCAAAGGCACTTGAGCAGCGGATAGCAGAACCCAGACCTTAGTAGCTCCAGGGCCCCCCTTCCCCATGCCACGCACCCCCTCCCCTCCCCCAGCCAGA